TATATATATAGGGTGGGCCAGACATGTACACATGGGCCAAATCCAGCCCACAGGCTACCAGTTGCCCATCCCTGAGCTAGATTTTTTAAACCACCTTTTCTTATCCCTTACATACAATTGTGCATTATGCAGTTTGTTTTGTAGAAATTTGCAGGCATTTGCAAGTGCATATATCAACAGCAGTAGCTAGCTGTAGCACTTCCAGTGCAGCCAGGGCCACTTCACGCAGGCATGTCACAATATTTCTATCAGAATAACTGTGTTATTCAAAACTTATGGCAGCATAAAGGTTTGTAAAAGAATATTCACATGAACTGATATTATTATTATTATTATTATTATTATTATTTAATTTTTGTTTTGTTTTTGGTTGGAGTTGCTTTACATTTCCAGCAAATCTCTTTGATCTTGATTCCAGTCTGACTAGCCATTAGCTCATAAAGATAAGAATCAAATTCAGTTTCTCTATGTTGAGGTCTTTATACCATTTCAGCAAAAACTATATGAAAAATGTTTATGTGCTTAAAATGTTTTAGATCTTTGTCATGGCACATAAACCACTGAAGGACCGTGGAAAATTAAATAAAAAGGTCTAAATGGTGTGAATTTATCCAAACAACAATTCTGATCAAACTTGAAATCCAACAAACCTGACAGCAACCATCAAACACCAAAATCATGCTCTAAGAAACCCTGCTCACACACCAAGGTAAAATCCACCAACAAAAAAGAATCACTGATGTCCCCCGATTGTTCATGGCAGATAACACCCCCCACTGGTTACCCTGCTCTGGGCAAACAAGTCAAAAACATAGCTGGTCGTATCAATTCTCACTCTCAATTGCTTCTTTGTTGAGACTACGTGCACAGCTTTGTTGATTTGTGTGAGTGAGATAGTGTGTGCAGAAAAAAAGGTGTAAGGATAAAATAAAAAATAGCAACCATCATACCATGTATCATCAGATATTTATTTATGGTTTAGATTTTGAAGGCATGTCTGTAGATCTCTGTTTGACCAGTCTGTAAATTGCCCTCACTGTGAAACCCAAGGACCAACTAAAGACTAACAAAAAAGAGAGCAGCTTGACCAAGAAAGAAACACGCGGTGAAAAGAAAAAAAAAACAGCACCCTCCTTCTGGATGCTGATGTCAATCAATCTTCAACTCACCTTTCTTGTCCCCAAAAAACAGTGTCTGCTGTGCTGGGTTTGACCACTGGAGGGAGGTATTGTCATTAAACTCCACACGGCAGGTCATGTTCGCTGTTCCGCCCTCTGTCACGGTCACATTTTGAACCAGGGGATACTGACCGCTGATACCTGCAGCACAACACAAAACAGGACAGAGATGCAAATTTATTGTGAAAGAGAAGATACAGAAAAAAAAAAATACTAAGCGAAACATTGGCACTTTTGACTGCTTAACTGAGTTACTTTTTTATATTAAATACTCAATAAAAAAATCAAATGTTAAAAGACACACATATAAAATAAATAATAGGCTCAAATTTGATGTTTAACCCTCCAATTCACATCTACATGTAACTAGAGCTTTTCACCACTGATTTATGTCTTCACAATGAGTAAAAATAAACCAATTCAAGCTTAACACCCCACCCCTGCCTCACTTCCAATCACAAAATACATGTCTAGGGAGGCTGGCCAGTGATTATTGCYTGCTAAATTGGACCTCAACATGGAACACGCAGGAGGCATTTAGCCCGAAGTATTGAAACCTTAGCTACACAGAGCGGAGCAATTAAAACTCATTCTCTGTGGATTTGTGTGCATGTGAGGACACTGATCTGTGTAATGCCTGCATGTGACTAAAAAAGAAAAGAAAAAGAAAAAAGAAAGACTACAGAGCTGAGTTTTGCATTTCTGGGTAAGRTGGTAGGAGCTGGTTGTCAGCACCATGGACAGGGCTACAGTTCCAGACTTCAGGACCATGGACAGCTTCAGACTGCATCGCGAGCTTCAGTTTTTGGGGCCGTTRAGATCTGTCGTTACAAATGTGCCACACATTTCTTTCTGGTGATTTGGCTGTGAGAAGTCAGCTCTGACACCCCGGTTGGTATTATGTTGTAAGAATCCACAGTGCGCTGACAGACACCAGCTGTTTTCTGCATAGAATCAGTGCAAATTTACATATTTTTCTGTGTTTAGTTAGGTGACTATGATGCTGCGTAACTCTGCTCAGACTGACMGTGTGTTCTGCTCATACAGTCAGCACAGCAGGTCCAAAAACAATCAGAACCAACTACAGAGAAACTCACCAATGTAATATCCTGTGTAACACTATAATACCTACACCTTATTTAGCCTTATCTAATCATCAATAAATGGTTAGTTAATATTGAAAACATCATTAATCAAGAATGATTCATACTTAAAAGGCTAGAAATTTACATATTTATTAATGTTTTTCTCATAAAAGCTAATTACTTCCAAAACCAACATATTCCATTGTTTATTCATGCCTAATAACTCACAAACTAATTATTCTGTTTACTGTGTTGTTATGAATGTAAATGTTTATATAAATGTACTTTAACATTAGGGCTGAACAAAACATTGCACATTGTCGTCGCAAAAGCCTTGCAAAAGGCATATTGCAAAAAACTGTGCAAACTGCAAGAAATGGTTGGCCCAAATTTTTGCTTTTATGCATTTTGTCAGCATCAGTTTGATAAAGAAAATGAGATACCACATCAAGTCATAACCACTTGGTTAGTGGTGCAAATGTTGAATCAATGCAATGAGAAAATTTGTAGTTGGATTTAGGGTTAAATTTTATTTAAAAGTTTTGAACTTATTTTCTGATTTTTTTTATCAGTCATTTAAAAGAAAATAATAGCAAGGGTGTTTTTTAGTATTTAGAGCATCAGAAAAGGTTTAATGGGGGCGGTGTTTTAAAGTCAGTAAGAAACAGTATTGCATGCAGTTTGTAGTTTCATTGTTAATACTGCAGCTGTGTCTAGTTTTTCTGTGTCATGTTGGAATGGAAATTATGTATTAGTCTTTTTTTGTGAAATACATCAACACTGTATAATTAAGTATTTGTTCATTCATCACAAGTCATATGGCCATCACAATATTAAGCATCATTATCACACATTGCAGATTTTTCTGATACTGTGTAGCCCCATTTCCCACCATGTGTTAGACATGGATTAATTGGTTAGAGAATGTTTGAATTGACTATGATTTTGCTCTGACTTCCACAGTTGAAAAGGAGCTTGTGGACCTTTAGGGTTTTGTCTACACTAACAAATACTTTAAAAAACCTAAATAGTGCTCACTTTAGAAGGCTTCACAAAAAGACAGCTTGTTACTAACAACTGCTTTAACTATTGATGCGCTGCAGGATTAGTAGATGATTCAAATGTTCTCTAACCATTAATGCATGTATAACACTTGGTATGAAAGAACATTTATATGACTATTTACATACATAAACACACAGCATATAGAATGGTTTATTCGTGTATTATTAAGCATGAATAAACAATGAGTATGATGGATTTGGAAGCAATTAGCCTTTATGGGTAAAGCAGGATAATTAATAGCTTATTAAGAATGAATTATCCTTATTTAAAACTATTTTCAATGTTAACTAAACATTTATTAATCATTTGGTAAAGCTAAATAAGATGTAGGTATAAAGTGCTATCCACATTGAWTGATAAACCTTTTTTTTTCAAACTGAGCAATGACAATTTAAGTAAAAATCCCAGCTAAGTGAAGTCTGGAGCCTTACAAAGACAGCTAAAACAACAAATAAAAACAAACATGTAAAAGGAAAACCAAACTGTGAGTTTTTGACATGAAAATATATATTTTCCAGACATTATCCGTCAATATCGTCTACCGCTTTGTAGTTTCTTTACAGCGYGTAATTTATAGCACAGGTGAGACAAAGTGACCCTCAAACAGAGTTTGCCCACTGGGTTAGCAGGTGGGGTGAGCCCTATCATACAGAAAGCTGTGGGAGGGAGAAGCTCTGAGAGTGAAGAAGATGAGGTGAAGGAGGGAAGGAGAGAGAGGTAAGTCAAGGAGCATGGGTCATTTCCAGTGTTGATTAAGGCCTCCCGAGGTTAATCATGCGTGTGAGAGATAGAGAGGGAAGAAGAGGGAAATGGAGGAAAAATGGATGCAAGCTACGGGAGGATAGGAATATGTTTTATTCATGAAAGTTTTGCATGAAGCATGATCTGCCAACGATTTACCATTCTCCTGCGCCCGCCTTCACTCCCTTTATTACTTCTTCTCTTTAAATCACTTACTTTTTTCATTTTTCCTCGCTCYTGCAATGGAGCAACACGCAGCCCAGTGTGACACGTTTTTAGCTCTTTTGTGCTGGTCACAAAGGAAAGTTAATAGTTAACCGGCGTACCGAATGGTACAGCAATAAGTGAGATTTTGCACAAAGTAATTTCACTGCAGAGGAAGTGTCATTGTAAAATGTCACTGAAGCCCGAGACACTCGGGGGGATATGGTTGCTTGCTGCATTATCAACTCTTCACTTGTATCTAAAAACACAACACACTTGCCAGTATTGATCTGCTTTTAATAAACACTGAGAGATAAGATTTGAGTGACTCGCTGTGTGTGTCGTAAAGTGCCACACATGACTTTAGAGAATAAAATAGCTTATACCACAGACTTCAGATTTAATTAAAAAGCAAATGCATGCATATATATGTAAAACCATAAATTAAACAGCATTTTAACACTTTTGCCCATATTAATCAATGCATGTGAGCTGACTCATACTCTGCTGTATGCACTTCCTGACCTATTCACGCATCATCCCACAGCACATCTTTACAATCTGTTGGTAAGGCTTCAATATTTCCCATCATTCGCTCTGCCATTTCAGTGCTGCTTAACAACTTTTTTCCACACTCTCAACACATCACACATTGATGCTAAGTCAAAACAATGCTGTGCATGTTTTTGATGATAAAAAACGACAATTTAAGGGTGACTACAACATCTATCAACATCATCTGAGCGGGTTTATAGGAGTGGTGACATGTTGGCAATGGAACTTAGAAAATATTGGCAATGCTTCCTGTATTAAAATGCATGTTTGTGTCTATTTGAAAAACAAGCACTGATGTTTTTCTAATACAGTTTAGGCTAGACAATTAGGGCAATTAGTGTTTTATTTGTTGTGGACAGCTTTTTGAATGACCTCAGTTTGGACAAATAGCTTAATCCTGACCAGATTGATGAGTCAGCATCAGAATGGGGCCAAGATTCAAGTGGACTGCTACTTTCCTAAAACAACTTCCACAAACCATTGTTTCTAAGCAGTTTGTTGTGCCAGCTGCAACTTCTGGTTCATGTTTATTCATGTACAGAAGACGTTACTTGACAGGGCCATTCAGCTGGTGGCTGGTGACTTCTAGCAAGCCCACCAATGACCAAAAAAAGGAACCAATGTTATGCATTCTTTTTAACTTCATTTAGTATGAAAATACATTTAAAATCAATTGTAAATGTATAATTTATGATTCAATGCAACAAGATGAACAAATTTAAAAGGTACAAGATGCTAGTTCTGTTACATGCTGCAACGTTTCACCAAGCATTAATGGGCAATGCCCCCTGCCCCACACTCCCAGGGATGTCTTTTCCCTGAGCTGCTGGCTTAACTGTGGTCCCCTGAGCATTTTAGTTGAATAACCCCGTTATGTGAGAATCATGTCAAGAAGCATCTCTGTCATCTCTGGGCCAAAGCTCATTTAAAGTACACCAAAACAAAGTAGAAAACTGTTTTCTGGTTACACTAATTGAAATTGGTTAGGGAGACCATGGACACCATATCCTATCAGGCTAAAGATGAGGGACCATTCTGCCTGTTGTCAGAACTAGTGGAGTAAATCTCCAGCTTTATCACGATACAATATAAGATTGTTTTGTTTGGATGACTATAAAGCAGGAGTGCCCATCCTTTTTTGAACCAAGAGCTACTTTTGAAGTCGGCAGTTTGCCGAGAGCTCCTTGACCATTCTCAGTATCAAAAAAACATAATTTTGTCTCCCTACTCCTCACTTCTTTAAAGTAAATAAAAACAGAACGTAATGTGTTGCTAGGTTTATTTAATTTAAAGTATTGTCAAACAAAACTATCTACTTAATCATATTTTTACCTACAAAKAAAGAAAAGATAAAATCCTTACTTAACTKCTGACAGAGAAACATAAAAGTGATGCTTGAACAAAAAGTACCATTTTTTTATCTCCTTCAATCAGTACTCACTGTAACGTGCGAGCTATGAGGGCTGGAAACCCTTTCCAGTGCAAGAACCA